TGCCAAGAAGGCAAAATTTCAGGATGAAGATGGGTGCCAGCTCCTTACAGCTTCCACTTTTGACAAGAAGAGTATCATCAAGGCCACAGACCAGGATGTGCTTGGCACATGCCACAGGCTGAAGCAAGCCTACCACAGGATGTCCAAGAGGGACTTTGCCATCAAGGAAACAAGTGTTGGCTTTGTCTTCAACAGCCATGCATTGCTATTTGACCAGTCATTGGCAAATGACATGCTGCCAGTCCAACAGATTGTCCATGATTGGATGCACACATACTTGGTGAAGGGCTGCTTCCAAACCATTACCTACCATTTGATTGACATTCTCCAGGATGAGTTCAAGCTGGACATGTATGCACTTCTTCTTACCTTTGTCCAGAACTGGAATGTCCCCAAGAAAGAAAAATTAGCCAGCTTGTTCAACCAGAAGCGCAAACAGGCCAATGCCAAGGCTACAACATTCAAATGCACTGCCAGTGAGGGCCTTGCCTTGTATCCAATCCTTGCATATTGGGTGCACACCATGATCTTGCCCCAGCAGCTATGCAAGCAACAGTGCCATGCCTTTCTTGCGCTGGCAGACCTTCTGGATTTGACAGTTGATGTCCCATTGGGCTTGGTTAGCTCAAACCACATGGAGGCAGCACAGGACAGATTCATCCAAGCCTGCTTGGTTGCCGACTGGGCATCCATTATGACCACCAAGTTTCATTGGTGCACCCACATGGCAGCCCACCACTTTGTCCACAACATGTTACCCAGCTGCTTTGTCCAAGAGAGGAAGCACAAGATTGTGAAGAGATATGGCCAGACCATATCTAACACAGTGAAATTCGAACAGTCTACCATGTCGGAAATCATTTGCCATGATTTATTTGCGCTCTCAGCACCAGATACATTTTCCACATCAGCAAGGCTGCTCTCCAACTGCAAGCCCACCAAGAACATGCAACAGTTTCTACAGCACCACTTTGACCAGGAAGATGTGTGGGTGTGCCAAACTGCTTACCTGCAACCGGCAGGCCAATGCTCCAAAGATGATGTGGTATTTATCGAAGAGCATGGTGGCCAGGTCCAGGTTGGACAAGTCCACATCCATGCCAGCATTGGTGGCGAAGTGTACAGCTTAGTGTCCAATTGGGAGGAAATGTCCAGGGACAAAGAATCCTGGTGTTTGCAAGCCAACTGGCCAAGCAGCCATGGTAAAGACATCACAAATTCTGTGTGCCACAAGTTGGTGCCAGTTCAGGGCCCATGAATACAAAGTTCTTATCCCTTTGAGGGCTAGGTGAGAGCTTGTAGCTGAATGGATTGAAAAAAGAGCAGAATGTCAGGTTGCTTGTCAGCAAGCCCGAGGGCTAGTCATTCAAGCTTGGTTGGCTTTTGTGCATGCAAGCCCCATGCATGTAAACTGCTAGGCCTTCAGGCTCCTGTTGCCATGGCTTTGCCAAGTTGCTTTTGCTTGGTCATCATCAAGCATCAAGGCTTCTTGCTTGATCAAATTTTCTTCAGCTTGACCATGTAGGGGGTAGCCATATGGCTAGGCCAAACACCAAATCATGGGCTGTCATGCATGTGTCAAGTCACGGGTAGCCAAAGGCTTGGCAATATTATGGGTAGCCATATGGCTAGGTAGCCAAAGCAGGCTTGACCAAATCATGGGCTGTAATGCATGTGTCAAGTGGTAGCCAAAGGCTTGGCCGTGTCAAGTCATGGTAGCCAGGGGCTTGGCCAAACATGCATGGTTGTGACATGAGCACTTGACAAAGCAAACGTACATGATGGCACTCACTCCTTGACACAGCTGCTTTGTTTTTCTCGCCTTGGCAGTGCAAATGGTACAAGTCCTTGGCATGGCAGTTGGCATGGCCCACACTCAATTCTGTAAATGGTGGGTTCCAAAAAAAGCTCTGCATGACTGGTGGTAAGTGTACTTTTGAAACTGGCTGCTCTAAACATGGAGAAGGTGGGCCATGGCCTTGGGGCCCAACTACGTGTATTTGTAGTTGTGGTTATACCACTTGGGGCCGGCAAGCGCGCTCTTGGCCCAGGACAAGCCACATATGGTGCAGCTGGGCCATGTCTCATTCAGGTAATGGCGATAGAAGATCCATGAGCCGCAATTCTTCTGGCTGCATGGCAGCACCAGGCGCCACGTGATGTGGTCTGGAAGGTCAATCCAAGGCTTGGGTTTCGCCTCCTTGGGCGAGCTGGGCGTCGGCTTCGTGGCCTTCATGGCCTTCATTGCCTTCATCGCCTTCATGGCCTTCATCGGCATGGCCTTCATCGCTTTCGTGGCCTTCATCGCCTTCATGGCCTTCATCGGCATGGCCTTCATCACCTTCATGGCCTTCACTGCCTTCAGGGCCTTCATGGTCTTCATGGGCTGCTGGCCAGCTTTGGTTGGTCCCTTGGCCATGGCTTGGAAGCTGACTGAAAGAGGAGCCAGCTGGCACTGGATCCCAAGTGGCTACACGTATACAATTGCTGCACCATTAGCATGGAAGCTTGGCGGCTTGATTGCTATGCTATTAGCCTTGTGGCTTGACTTCATGCCATGTGGCTAGCCTGCAGGCTTGACTTCATGGTGTGTGGCCTGCTGCCCAAAAGCACCTTTTGGGAATCTGATTTTGCAAAGCTGGTGGGCTAGCCAAATGGCTACATCTTGGAGCCATTTTTTTCAAGCCTATCTGGCTGAGAAGGTTTACATCATGTAGTTGAATAGCTAATGTGGAATGGTAGCCATTATTGCAAGCCAGCCAACCTGCTTGAATAATCTCAAATAGCCAATGTTGGCTTGCAATTGCAGCCCAAGGGATAGTGCAAGCATGCGACAAGCCATTTGCAGGCTACACCTTGCTTGCTTGCGAAACATTCAAACTTCTATGTGCCAAAGCATAAACAGAGCAGCACTGCGCGGCCACCATTATGCATGATACAAAAACACAAAATAAAAACACGGAAAGTAAACCCTTTTCTCATTACAGCCAGCACTTACATAGCTAGTTAGCAGCACTTACATAACAAGTTAGCTGGAGTTAGCTAACCTCTAGCTAAGTGGTTAACATAGATAGCTCTGCATGTAGCTAACCACTTAGCTAAGCTTAGATAAAGTATGATAAAAGATGTAACTTTACTAGCACATAGCTTTGGATTTTGCTAAGGTCTAGTAAATGTTACACAGCCTACATCATGTAAGTACCAGCTTCCAACCAAGATACAACCCACTTGCAGGCAGCTTACAAATCCTTATGACAGCACGTGTATGTCCAACGAACTCTAGCAAACCCCCGGTGCATCCCAGTGGGCGTGCGTGCGCGCGTGCGCGCGTGTGAGCGTGTGGGCGTGTGGGCGTGTGGCCGCGCGCGCGCGTGCGCGTGCGCGTGCGCGTGGGCGTGTGCGTGTGCGTGTGGCGTGTGGCGTTGGCGTTGGCGTGTGCGTGCGAGTGCGTGCGTGTGCGTGCGTGTGCGTGTGCGTGTGCGCCGTGTGCGGGTGTGCGCCGTGTGCGGGTGTGCGTGCGTGTGCGTGCGTGTGCGTGTGCGCCGTGCCGTGTGCGGGTGTGCGCCTTGTGCGGGTGTGCGGCGTGCAGGTGTGCGCGTGCGCGTGCGCGCGTGCGCGCGTGCGCGCGTGCGCGCGTGCGCGCGTGTGCGCGCCTGCGTGCGCGTGTGCGTGTGTGTGTGTGTGGGGTGTTTGTTTGTTTGCTTTCTCGTTTGTTTGCTTGCTTCCTTCTCTACTTATTGACTTTGCTTGTTCTTTCTGTCCTTCATTTCTCTGTGTTTCTTTCTTGGCTCCTTCCTTCCTTCCTTTCTGACTGCCTGCCTGCCTGCCTGCCTTCCTTCGCTGCGTGTTTATTATTTCTTCCTTGCTTGCTGTCTTTCTTTATTTCTTTCTTTTTCCTTTCTTTCTTTCTTTCTTTTCTTTCTTTCTTTTCTTTCTTTTCTTTATTTTCGTTCTTTTCTTTCTTTATCTATTTCTTTATTAGTGTATTTATTTCTTTATGTCTTTATGTCTTTCTTTATTTCTGTCTTTCTGTCTTTCTTTCGTTCTTTCTTTCTTTCTCTCTTTTTTTCTTTCTTTCTTGCTTTCTTTTGTTCTGTCTTTCCTTCTTTCCTTCTTTCTTTCTTTCTTTCTTTAACTTTTTGTTTATTTATTTCCTTCTTTCTTTTCTTTTTTTCCTTATTTCTTTCTTTTCTTTTCTCATGTCTTTTCTTTTCTTTTCATTATTTTCTTTCTTTCTTTATTTATGTCCGTCTGTCCGTCTGTCCGTCTGTCCGTCTGTCCGTCTGTCCGTCTGTCCGTCTGTCTGTCTGTCCGTCTGTCTGTCTGTCTGTCTGTTCGTTGTCGCTCTTTCTTGATTTGATTGCCTCTCTTTATCTTGTCGATGTTTTTCGTTTCGTCCTTGTTTTCTGTGTCCTTCTTTGAGAAGTTCATACAGTTTGCTTGAGTTGTTGGCGTTAATTGTGTCTGGTTCAACCTTCCAGTAAAACTCTTTGGCTTCGCAGCCTGACGTCCATCCAGGCCCTGCGTCCCAGAAGAACTGAGCAACTGACAAATTCACCGATTTTTCTTTGTGGAGAACCAGCCAATCCAGAACGACTCTGCCGAGCTAATTCAACCATCTTGTTGCTTCAACGCCTACCATCCCCGCCTTGGCTCCGGATGTGAAGCTCAGAGGTCCTAGAGCTTCACACCTGAGATTCAGCCTGGCGGAAGCAATAGGCTCCGGCTCATTCAGGAACACGCAGCCAGGGCACTGGTCCGCAACGTTTGGCTCCACATGTATGTTAAGCGAGTCAAATGAGCTTCGGCTGAGAGCGGCAACCACCGTCTGCTTCAGTTTGGCCGGCTGCTCAACGTCTGAAAGGCGGCTGGCTGAGTGAAAGAAGTGTCGCTAAGCTCATGCGCCGCAGGCGCTGAACGCCTCCTCTTTTCGCAAGACTGACAAGTCACAGCACATCGAAGCTGAGGCTGTCTGAAACTGACAAACGCCTCAGCTGGCCTCAGAAACTCGACCGCAAATTGCCGCCCTTCAGCACCAACCAAGACCCAGTGTCTGACAACACCCAACGGCCTGCAAGGCAGCCGTGCAGTACACTCAATGACTCAAGCTTGCGGGTGATTCCTGGGCTTGCCCTGCATATGCTCAGATCTTCCGGCCAATGCCGCATCCAAAGCTTTGCTGTCAAGAAGTTGCCTCCTTGAGGCTGGCACTTCGCCAGGCAAGAAGCCAATGGCCCGAGGCTCAGTTTGCGAGATGCAACCTGCGGGACCTGCGGGACCTGGCGTATGTGCCGACACTGGCCACTTGAACTGCCGAGGTGCGCGCAGATTGGGCTATCGTACAAAGTCATGGTCTCAGAAAGGTCCAGGCCATTGCGCAAAATCGCCCTTTCTGAGATACCAACATAGGTCATTCCCTTGACTGCTTTGTTACGGTACGCAGGAAGTGGCCCAAACCACAGGTGCCCTGAAGCCGAAGATGCACCTGCAAGAACTTGCTGTGACCGTGCGCGGGCACAGCATGTGGGTTGCGAGCACGCCAGCGCATGCTACATCAATCAGGCAAAAAGGAACACAAGGACCTTTGACCAAGCACGAAAGACCGAGCTGCCAGTCAATTAATTACTCCAGCCTGAAAGTCTGCCCACAGCGTGAATGCCAACAGCACGGAGTGCATCGCATAACATCAACTGACTTTGGGGCTGAAAAGCCTCTCCTTTGCGCTCAGGCACTGTCGGGACTTGCAAAAACAGCAAACGTGTTCGAAAGGCATCAAGGCAGGACAAAGGATCGTGCGACGCCGACGCATGACACATCAAGCAGGCAACAAGGAACGCATAGACCTTTGCAAATCTGAACCCGCATGCTGCAAGGTCGGCTGGCATCTACTGCAACTCTGCTCAGGTTATCGAACCACATCAGAGCATGAAAGACCGAGCTGCCAGTCAATTACTCCAGCCTGAAAGTCTGCCCACAGCGTGAATGCCACCGGCACGCAATGCATCGCATGACATCAACTGACTTTGGGGCTGAAAAGCCTCTCTTTTGCGCTCAGGCACTGTCGGGACTTGCAAAAACAGCAAGCGTGTTCGAAAGGCATCAGGGCAGGACAAAGCATCGTGCGATGCCGACGCATGACACATCAAGCAGGCCACAAGGAACGCATAGACCTTTGCAAATCTGAACCCGCATGCTGCAAGGTCGGCTGGCATCTACTGCAACTCTACTCAGGTCATCGAACCACATCAGAGCATGAAAGACCGAGCTGCCAATCAATTACTCAAGCCTGAAAGTCTGCCCACAGCGTGAATGCCAACAGCACGGAGTGCATCGCATAACATCAACTGACTTTGGGGCTGAAAAGCCTCTCCTTTGCGCTCAGGCACTGTCGGGACTTGCAAAAACAGCAAACATGTTCGAAAGGCATCAAGGCAGGACAAAGGATCGTGCGACGCCGACGCATGACACATCAAGCAGGCAACAAGGAACGCATAGACCTTTGCAAATCTGAACCCGCATGCTGCAAGGTCGGCTGGCATCTACTGCAACTCTGCTCAGGTTATCGAACCACATCAGAGCATGAAAGACCGAGCTGCCAGTCAATTACTCCAGCCTGAAAGTCTGCCCACAGCGTGAATGCCACCGGCACGCAATGCATCGCATGACATCAACTGACTTTGGGGCTGAAAGCCTCTCTTTTGCGCTCAGACACTGAGCGAACTGGCAACAACAGCAAACGTCTTCGAAAGGCATCCGGGCAGGACAAAGGATCGTGCTATGCCAACGCATGCCACATCAATCAGGCAAATGACATGCATGGCCCTTTGCCAATCTGAACAAACATGTTGCAACGTCGGCTGGCATCTACTGCAACTCTGCTTGATGGCTAATGCAAGCATACCAACACAGTTGCAGCGCATCCGGCCATGCCTGGCTGAGAGTCTGCTCACGGAATCAATGCCACTGACCTTAAGTCTTCAAGGGTCAGAACTTGTGCCATGTAAAGTGGCAGGCATGTCGCAAGGGAATGAGGGCAAAGGCTCTTGCGACGCCAACGCATGCCACATCAATCAGGCTAAAAGGAACGCAAAGGCCCTTGCAAGTCTGAAGCGTCACATTGCAAGAGCGGCTCGCATCTACTACAAAGCTGCTTTATGGCTAGGCAACACTCTGAAGCATAGCAGGGCATTCCGGCAGCCTCTGTTTGAAAGTTTCAGTTTGATCAGCCATGGCAGGCTGAAAGGCTGCCCAGGCATGACATCTGCAAAGGCCCTCCTTTGCCAAGCAGCAAGCGTGTGACAAAGGCATCAGGGCAGGACAAAGGATCGCGCTCCAACGCATGACGCATCAATCAAGCAAAAGACGCATAAGGCCCTTTGCCAATCTGAGCCAAGAGTTTGCAACGTCGGCTGGCATCTACTGCAAGGTTGCTTTGTCACTTAAAAAACCACACTTCAGCATACCGCAGCTTCAGCACGCTCCGGCAGCTTCTGTTGTCATAAAGTTACCATCCATGGCTGAGGATGCATCGCATGACATGCTCTGACCTTGCACTTGGACAGAATCGGGCCATGTGCAGTAAAGCAGCAGGCATCTGGCCAAGGTATCACAGCAGCAAAGGCTCTTGCTATGCCAACGCATTCCACATCAATCACGCAAAAGACACACAAAGCCCCCCAATTCTGACCGACTGGTCGCAAGGATGGACGGCATGCGCTGGGCTGATTTGAGGCTAATCCAACCACTCTGAAGCGCGACAAACACCGCCGTGTCCGGTTCCAGCAGCTGCCTGCCAAGTCAAAACTTCAGCCAGCCTCGCATGAATGTGGCACGGGATGCGATACATCAACTGAAGTCGGGGCTTCTTTTCTTATCTTGTTCTTCGCACTCCAGGGGCCCAGCCCAGTGAAGCTTTAACAGAGCTTGTCATCGTGCAACCACCATTCAGGAATGGGACGCAAGGTCCGATGGCGAATGGCATAGCTTGCCTCTCTTCCCACACGGCCCTGCGCTTGTCGCGGTTGCACTCTCAGGCTGCTCAAGCTAATTTAGCACGGCTAGCCCCACATCCAAACCCTCCTCCAGGACATTTCGGCCACCATAATCTAGATATGCTTGCCAGTACATAGCGGCTGCGCAAAGGAAAAGCGCCGTCCACAGCTCGCATCTGCAGGTCGCGTTGCTTCTGGAAGCGCGGGTGCGAGCGGCTCCATGACGGAAGGCAGGTGGCGAAGTGAAGCTCATGACCAAACCCGGTCTCAAGCTCAGGATGATGCTGAGACGGACTGACTGCAGAGCTTGCAGCAAGGCCATGCCGTTACCGCCGAAGATCAAGCAAGGCCAGCCAAAGCTTGATCAAGCAAGGCCAGCTTGATGGCCCCGACACCTCTCATCCCCCTCCGCGGAGAACTGCATGTCCCTTTCGAATTTGATTCGTAGATGCACAGCATCTCGGATTGTATGGCTGAGGTCCTGCAGAGAGCTACAAGCCATACACGTTGGGCTTGCTTGGCGGCAAGGAATGGCAAAGCCACGAGCTTTGGCAATGGCAGGTGGCGTGGCAATGCGATCTAGTTTGGCCACCATGCAAGGGGACAAGAAGAAGAACAACGAAGACTTGCCACAAGCTACGCTCTCTATGCTGCCTGTGCCAAGGAGATAAGGCAACACGAGGATCTTGCCTGGAACAGTGTCTTGCCAGACTCAACACTTTGCCCGCGCAGCCGTACTAGTGGGCTGGCTGAAAACAAGCACACTGAGGTCTGAGGCAAGTGTGCTATGTACATTCGTTCTTGGAGCTGCGTGGTATCCCCCAGTCTGTGCTCACAAGAGCCCGGTGAACACAATGACCCAACCCGCCTGAAAGCACATGGTTCGGGTTGTATCCCAGCTGACAGCTCCACGCGCATGTGAAGCCAAGCCCTGGGCTATCCCTGCAAGCACCACCGAAGGTGTCTCATAGCTTTGCAAACCACGGGGGCTCCTTCTGTAGCTTCGCCAGCCGATCCATGCCCGCATCGATTGCGCTGTCGAGCTCAGGCAGTCTAAGATGCTTAGAAGCAAAACAGCCCCAGTCTTCTCCTCAAGCTGCCGGCCGGCCCGGGGCAGCGGGGCAGGCGTTCGCGCCATTGGCTTGGTTCGACATCAGTGTGAGGGAGAACCTGCAAGGCAAGCTGGCATCATTGAAGCGGCCTGCAAAGAATACAACGAGGTGCCCATTGCGGTCATACGCTGCTTGGATTGAATTATGTTGTGGAGAAAAGGAGGACTAACAGAATGAGCCTTCTTGGGAAATCCGAGATTGGAGAGACCACATGAGCCCAACACGCAAGCCAAATTGGAGAGACGATGCTTCTGTTGTCAGCATCTTTGCAGCGTGATTATCTGGAGGCATGCATGCAATTGTTGGGGTCTGTTTGTCTCTTAGCGCACTGTGGCCTGGCGTGATTTGAGGCATCAATTTGTCAAATTGGTCGAACACATCATTTTGAATGCACGACGCCCGCAAACATCCGGACTCATACATAGGTCAACTGGCATTCGATAGTGCCTCTGGAGCCTCCCACCTGGCCAGCTCTGAACAACAAGCTCAAGAACTTTAAACAAAAGGATTAAATTGGATGCCTTCAGCCTCGACCCGGCCTCACATTTATTTGTGGGCAACCAACATGAGGCCTGTGAACTCCAGTGTTGCCAGCCTTCGTGACTGTCAGACAGCGCCAACCTTGGAGTGCCGGGGAATCATTGCTAAGCTTTTGCTGTTGCATGGTGAGACCGGCTCATGAATATTGCCTATGGGGCGAGGTTGACCTCCCATGCTCCAAGAACTGCGAGAGCACAGCTGAAAACTGCTCCGTTCTCACTTCGGGCGCGAAGGACCTCAGCAAGGGCGCATTGGAATGAAAGCTCGGAGCCGCAGCCGGCACACGACGGGAGTGAAAAGAACTCCTGCGAAAGAAAGAACTCAGTTGGTCGTGATGCTCCGCCGTGGGTACCCGAAGCACTGCGAAGCAAGGATCGGCTGCAAGCAACATGTGTCAGGCAATGCGGCGAAGGTAAGCACAGCATTGCTCTTCCATGTTCAGCCAGCCAACCAAGACTGCCGGACTTTGCCCATCTCCAGCAGCAAGCTACCAGCTGTATCACAGCTTTTTCATGATCTAGCTCATCTGAACCCTCAAGCTGCTTGGTTGCCCCAGTTGCAAAGGAACTCCTGCAGTCAATGTTTGCTCCACGGCAGCAACCTAGAAGCATAATCACGCCCTCGGCTTGCATTGAAACTTTGCAGCGCACATGGGTAGCTTGTCTTGTCTTTGAGCACGTCGATGGTGTGGCGCGATCATGTGTCAGCTCGCAGCCGACGACATCTGCAAGGCAAGCGACCGCTGCTGTTTCTACGTCCTTTCTGCTGTTGCCACCAGTTTAAAGCTGGGCCGGTGCCAAAGGGCCTCTGAGAATCCGGCATGTGTGGCTTACCGTGGTTTGCAGCACGCGCGCGCGGCATAGCTCGCAAGCTTGAGAGACAAGGCGAAACCTTCGGGCCCCATACTTAGCTCGCCAGATTTGGGCGCATTTTCTCTGGCGCCCGCAGCCCCATGCCTTGTGCCTGAGCTGCTTTCCAGGGTCCAGCTCGAGCCAAGTTACGAAGTGCGGGCAGAGTGTGGTGGCCATACGCGGCCGAGTCTCGGCGAAGCGCAAGGCACGAGCCGTTTGCATTGCAAGGGACTTCGGCTTCGCACTGTGCCGGGACAAGAACTGCCGACCCACGGAACCTTCTGCAGTTTCGGCAACGCACGCTGCACCACCAGCGGCAAAGACCGGGCTGAGACAAGGCCACGGTCCGGAGTCTCTGAGAACTCGCACCAGCGCACTGTCAGCCTCAAGCCCTGGCGCGCCGCAACACTTGGCAACCCGCGATTTCCGCGCAGGGTGCGTATGAAGTTGGAGATGCATCCGTCAAGGGAACTGACCAGTCCTTCCGATGCGTTTGCCAGTTCACACGGCCTCCAGCCCATGAGTTGACACAACACTGGAGCTGAACAACGGGGCAAGCCTGCCTGTTCTGCTTCCATCAGCTTATTCTCGACCGCCCCTTGATATAGGCAAAGCCTCAATGACCTTGGTCCAATTAACCTGCTGCCTTGCATGTTAAAATGAATCACAAGAACACCAGGTACCAAAAAACAGAAGGGCTGCACCTACTTGCATGGATTGTGGCTCCTGGACAGGCACAGAACCAAACTCGGATGCTCAGTGTGAGGCCAATGTCATCTGCACGCTCCGCAACGGTCACGGCAGAACAACTGCCAACATCAGCATCCGCGACTTGCATGTCTAAACGGACAATCTATCACACATGCAAAGGAAACACACCTAACAAACAACCAACGGCAAGAACAGCAAAACATTCTGTTCTCATGCCAAGTGCGCAAAACAACTGCAACCCGCGCCTGGCCAGCTGCGACTGCTGCGTCCTCCTGATACACCTGGGCAACTGCAAACCGGGCTCTCTGCTGAACAGTGCCCCTTTAAGTCGGGGCCGATACATTGCAACAGTCGGGGCCTAAATTCGGAGCCGGGCGACCACCAAAAGCAAATTCGCGACTCTCCAAGCCCATTTGCAACCAGCCTCATTGATCACTGCCTGCTCCACTGCCCAAGCAAAGAAGAGCTGCCCCGGGCAATCAATAACCACAGCATTGGCCCGGCTTCCACCATTCATGGTTCACTTGAGGCTTGGATAGATGTTTCTGGCCAAAGGCTAAAGCCTTTGCCTCAACATCTTCACGCCTTCCATCTTTGCAGTTCGTACGGTGATTTGGGCGCACAAAGCTCTTCCCAGAGACTGCCGCCACAGCCACGAAGCCATCAAACAACGTGCAAACAGCAAACATCCAGCGTGAACTTTGTCATTGCACGGCGTGCGTCTCAGCATCTCATATCGAGCAGTGCACGGTTTGCCCTCACGGCAGTCACTCTCAGCCATGCCGCAGCCAGAAAGGTCGGAGGCCGCGGTAACGCTGCGCATCTGGCGAGCGCGCACACCTGGCGATTGGAAACTGGCGAACGCTGGCCCGAATGCGCAAGCGCAATCCCAAATGGACGATTTCCAACCAACCCCGGAAAAGCATGGACAACTCAAACCGAACACCCAGTGAGGGAGTGAGAGAAAGCCACCACGCAAGGAAACCAGCTGCGGCGAAGCAGTAGCACAAGCAGCAAACAACCTCCCATGGATGCGGCAACGATTCTGTCCGGTTTGTCATGGACATGTGTGAGGGCGGAAGGGTTTTCTATTTTCCGGGGGTCGGCGGGCCGTTTTTGTTTCCTAGGTCGCAGTCAACATCCCCAGCATCAACACACCCAACATTGCCAGAAGCTTTGGTTTAGACTGAGGTTAGGGTGGGTTCAAGGATTGTTTAGGGTGGATTTGGGTGGGGCTTGGCTTTCCTTAGGCTTTGTTTTAGGTTGGGTTTGCTTACGGTTTGTTTGGAGTTGATGTTGGTTGTTTAGGGAAAGTGCAGTGCCGGTTTACGGTGGCTTTAGGATTAGTGTAGGGCTAGTTTAGGGTTAGTTTAGGTTGCTTTGGGTGGGTTTAGGGTTTGTTTAGAGTTGGCTTAGGGATGGTTTAGTGGTGGTTGTTTAAGGATTCTATACGGTCCGCCTCGTTCGGGTTTAGTGTCGGTTTAGTGTCGGTTTAGTTTTGGTTTTAGTGTCGGTTTAGTGTCAATTTAGTGCGGGTTTAGTGTCGGTTTAGTGTGGGTTTAGAAGAGTTAGCTGTGGGGTTTAGGGTTGGTTTTTGGGTTGATTTTTTGGTGGTGAGGGATTGCGGGACTGTTCAGTGCTGGTTTAAGGTGGGTTACAAACACTATCCTGGCAGTGATGCTACTGAGGGTTGCTGGTGATGTGGAGGATGTGGAAAGCCAAAAGAGCGCAAAAAGCTGCGACCGACCAATCGACTGACCCACCGACAACAGGGGACTCTGCCACGACCCGGGCACTAAGGAAAACAAACTCGGGCCCCATGTAAATACACAACTTGTGGCACGGATACCCAAATGCTGCAGGCGCCAAGGCCGACGCAACATGATGCAACACAACCCAAGCCTCCAGCGTTTGAATAAGCCTGGTGCTTTGGCAAGCAAACGCATAAGTCACCCTGGCTTCAGCCGTAGACGGTATGTATAGTGGTTGACCGAGGCTTTGCTTGCTTGCTCGCTTGAGTTGTTGGGGCTTAAGTCTGCACACTCGACCCCAGGACAAATGCGTGCTTTTCTAGCCGGAGGGTGAAAGTAAAGATCCTTTCTGGGAACACTTTGAGAAATTGCACCGAGGAATGTCGATTGAGGCAGAGAAGTTGCGCAGAGGAATGTCATAAATAGTTTGCACAGAGACTCGTCATGGACAGGAAGAGAGAGAGAGCGAGAGAGAGATGTCAAACTACATGCTTCACTACTTGCATTTGTGTTGCATGTATGTACACTACCGCAGGCCTTGAGCCTCAGCCCGACTACATCTGTCAGGAGAAAACAAAAGGCTGCAGCAGACTACATTTGTTTATGTTAACAACAACAGCATTGCACTTGAACTTGTAGTACTTGTGGCTCCGATTTTAACGTGGTAGCGGAGCTGAGATCCTAAACATAGAGGAGCTCCAGTATCCAGCAGAAAGTACTACAACAACTGCAATAGCAAGCACATTCGAAACTACTACGACATGTCAGGAGAAGAGCACAACAAACTACAGGAGCAGAGAACGGGCCAACAGCAGAGACAGTAGGAGCCACGACTACGGGAGCAGGAACAGACTACCTCGGCCTCACAGACCGAAACTTCAACCTGGTGCTACAACTAGCACAAGTAGCTACACGACAGATTGAGGACACAGACATCAGAACACACATACTCGATCCTACACAAGCAAGCAAAGCAGTAGACCTCCCCGAAAAAAGCTACACTACATCCTCATCAACATCTGTCAGGGAGCAGCAGCTACAGTAGTAAGGCAAAACCGCTACAACGCAAATGGATGTGAAACACTACGACTCTTCCGCAACAGGTTCAGCCTACCAGTAGGAACACGAAGCGTTGGCTTCAATGCAACAACATCTCCAACTGCGAGCTGGACA